TGTTAAAAAATCAATAAGCTTGAGGGATGAGTATCTTTAGTAAATAAATTTATTTATTTATCTTTTGTAGTTGTAGTTGTTATGTTAAAAAATCAATACGCTTGAGGGATGAGTATCTTTAGTAAATAAATTTATTTACTAAAGATACTCATCCCTCAAGCTTATTGATTTTTTAACATAACAACTACATCTTTTAAACAAATCTGACTCTCGGATTATGGAGAGGAAAAATAGGAAAATGGGTTAAGATTACATCTTTTAAACTATCTGGATCAAGAAAACAAAGGAGTAGAAAAGATCAGCATGACAAGTTCAAAGTTAATAGTACCTTTTAGATGCTATAGCCCAGTGGAGGACACTTCGATCTTTTTGTACAAAAATTTGAGGCTTACTTTTTGGCATCTGAAGGAGGAGATTAAAGTGCTGATTTTTACCTCGCTACCAGATTCTGAAACTTTGAAGCAGGGAAACGACATTTTCTTCCTGGTCTAATGAAAGATCAACCCTATGATACTATCATTCAAAGAATTAAGCTGCATTTGGATCCAAAGAAGAAAGTGATACCACAGCGGTGCAGATTTTTAAAGAGAATTCAACGGGAAGGAGAATCAATTTCGGAATATCTTAGAGAATTGAAACATTTGGCAATAAATTGTAATTTCGTCGATATGTTGGGAACCATGATGCGAGACCGTTTTGTGGCTGGAATCAAGTCGGAAATCCTGCAAAAGAAGCTACTACAAGAGGACAACGATGTCACCCTGGATAAAGTTTTTGCAGTGGCGATCGCGTTCGAATTGGCGGAGATAAATACAAGAGAATTACAAGATAAATTAGTGGCCAAGATATCCCCTGTGAATTGAAAGGATAAAAAGGGCGAGTACAATAATAGTACGGCGCAGTATAGACCTTTCAGGCAAAGTGGCAAAGGCAAAATAGTGTGTTATAGATGTGGTGAAAGACATTCACACGTGGCATCTCTTTTGCCTCATAGAACAAAGACTTGTTTTAAAATGTAATAAACTGGGTCATTTAAGTAGGGTCTGCAAAGCTAGTAAAAGAATGTGGGGATGTAAATTTGTACAAGAGGACTCTATATATTCTGTACAGGGCGAAACTGATGCCACAATAAATTTAACAGTAGATGAATATTCTTTGTGTTTTACAATAGATACAGGAACTCCAGTTACGTTAATACCTAAAGATATTTATAAGAATTATTGGCAAGGTAAAAGATTATTTCCAACAAATTTAAGATTAAAATCCTTTTGTGGTAAATCAATAGAGATTATAGATCAAAGAAATGTTTTTGTAAAAGAAGCCAACCAATATTTACGATTAATAGTTGTAAATGAAAAAATCCAGGTAATTTTATTAGGAAGAGAATGGCTTAAACAGTTGAAACTTGATTATTCTATATTGTTTAGCATTAAAATTTTAAATAATGAATATAATAGAAATATATTTAAATATATAAAAATTTGATGGATAGGTATGCAGATTTGTTTAACAAAGATTTGGGCTGTCTAAAGGACGTTAGAATAAATTTTAATTTAAAAAAGGATGTGACTCCTGTGTTTTGTAAGGCCAGAAGTTTACCTTTCTCTCTAAAAAACAAAGTAGAGAATGAAATTGATCGTTTAGTGAATTCTTGCATTTTATAACCTATAGTTCATTCATATTGGACCGCTCCAATATTACCGGCATCAAAAAAGGATGGTAGTGTAAGGATATGTGGTGATTTTAGATGTACAGCTAATAAAGCAATATAATTAGATAGGTATTCCATTCCATCGATCGATGAGATCTTTTCAAAATTATCTACAAGCACCGTACTTTCGACTCTAGACCTATCACAGGCTTACTTACAAGTAATGTTAGCGGAAGAAGCCAAAGCTGTTGTTGATATAAACACAACAAAGAGTTGTTTTCTTATAAAAGACTACCATATGACGTAGCGGTAGCACCAAATAGATTTCAGAGGATTATGGAAGGCCTATTTTCTGATTTGCCAGGTGTGGCCTGCTACATAGATGATATTTTGGTTGCAGAAAAAGACTTTGAAGATCATGAACAAAAGTTGGATCTAGTGTTTAAATGATTGCTAGAAAAAGGTTTAAAGTTAAACAGATATGAATGTAAATTTAAAAAGAAATCGGTGGAATATTTAGGGTTTAAAATGGATAAATATGGACTGCATCCCTTATAAAATAAAATTAAAGCAGTGATAGAGAGGCGCTTGAACCTAAAGAATGTTTCGCAATTGAGATCTTTCATAGGACTCTTAATTTATTATTTTAGATTAATAAAGAATATGGCAAACATTTTAGCGCTATTCTATCAACTTTTGAATAAAAATTGTAGATGGAATTGGACGAAAAAATATCGAATGTTATTTAAAAAATGTAAATCATTATTAATGGAATATGGACTAGGCGTAATTCTGAGTCATAGAAATGATAGAAAGGAAGAATTCCCTATAGCTTTTGTTTCTAGAACATTAACTGAAGCGGAAAAACGTTTCTCTCAACTAGAAAAGAAAGCGTTGAGCATAACTTTTGGCGTTGAGAAATTCAGACAATACTTACTGGGACGAAAATTTGTATTGGTCACAGACAACCGACCCTTAATTCATATATTTTCACCTCATAAACCAATTCCCATATGTGCATCATCTAGAATTAAAATATGGTCCTTAAAATTAGCTGCATTTAATTATACTGTGGAATTTCGAAAAACTAGTGATAATTCCAATGTTGACGCATTGTCACGTCTAGAATCGAGTGTCAGGGAGTCTCTTAATGAAGACCAGGTACTTCTTCTTAGGAAGTCGAATGAGGTACCGTTCTCTTTTATGGAGGTGGCTAATGAGACGCCCCAAGATAAAATACTGTCTATAGTATTAAGGAATGTTAGAGAAGGCAACTGTGTGTGTGGAAATTCACAAGGGTACCGAGAGAAAACCCACTAGCTCCTCATTATAAGATCAATGAGGAATTAAGTTTGGAGTTTGGTTGTCTTCAATGGCGTGAAAGAGTGGTAATTCCCCAAAAATTAATATCTTTAATTTTAAATGACTTGCATGAAATACACATGGGGATTGTTAAAATGAAGATGATTGCCAGACGGTATTTTCTGGTGGCCAGGCATAGACAGTAACATCGAGGAGTTAACTAGAGAATGTAGAGTATGCCAAGAATCGGCAAGCATGCCCCCGGCTACCATCTCGGAATGGACTTGGCCCGAAAAACCGTGGCATCGACTTCATCTTGATCTAGCGGGTCCGTTCATGGGAAGAATGTTTTTGGTTCTCGTGGACGCATACTCAAAGTGGATAGAAATTTTTATCATCAAAGATATTACCAGAAAAACGATTATAAGTCATCTTAGAGAAATTCTCGCCAGAATTGGATTGCCCTAATTTTTTGTTACAGATAACGGAAGACAGTTTGTCTCCGGTGAATTCGAGCAATTTACCAAAATGAATGGTATACGGCACACTAAGACCAGTCCGTATAATCCTAGTACAAATGGTTTAGCTGAGAGATATGTAAGAGGGTTTAAAAACCTTTTGAGAAATAATAATGGGAAGGATGATTTAGAGACGAATCTACAAAGATTCCTATTTGCTCATAGAGCATTCCCCCAAACTGTAATAAAGGAATTCCCCGGCGGAACTGCTAATGAAGAGAAGTTTAAGATCAAGATTCTCGAATTTAATTCCAAGATGGGAAATCCGCGAGAGGTATTTCATGAGGCCGTAAGAAGGCAGGAGCAGTTTACTACAGGTTGCGAGGTTTATTTCCGCAACTATGCAACTGGACCTAAACGGTAAAAAGGTACCATTTTGAAATTATTGAGCTACCGTCACTACCTTTTAAGTTGCGAGGGCGTCGTGTATAAGGGGCATATCAATCAATTGCGACCTGTGAGAAAGAAACAAGTGGAGACAAGAAATTTGATACTTCCTCGAACATCAGGAGAGAAGCCTGTAGGTGGAAGTCAGAAATAAAGTGAAGAGGAGGTTCCAGAGGTTACATCAGGAAACAAGGAGGAGACTGCTTCTGTGCACGTACCCTCTTGCACTCCTATACCAGGGCCTGTTTGCTGTGCACGTGCCCTCTTGCACTCCTAAACCGGAGGCTGCCGCTGTGCAAGTGCCCGTCCGCAGTCCTAGACCTCAGAGAGCAAGGAAACCCCTAGACCGACTGTAGTATTATTAAGGGGGGAGATGTGTTGTGTATGTAAATAGATGAAGATTATTTGCATTCTTTAAAGTCTCATTATGTAAGAATATATGTGTATATAAATTGGACATTATTTATTGGCCAAACGAAAATAATCTGAGGCTCTTTATTGGACACGACAAAAACAACAACGGCATCCCAGAGTAAAATAAATCATCAGAGATAGATAAATATTTTTCAAATGAATTAAAATAAATATAATCGATACTGAGAGAGAGTTGAATTTAAAAAAATAGAAAATTATTATTTTCGAAATATAAATAGCTGAGAGGATTCCAGCAAACCGCATCTAAAATATCAGTTTTTTTTTTGCTACATGTTTTAATTTGCATATACCTATTTTACATATCTCAGATTGTATTTAAAAATCGTTAACCATTTCTTCTAACTTTTGGCGAAATGGTGTTTTATTAATTTATCATTTGATATTATTAGGGTTCTTTCCTGGTATTCAAAAAGTAAAAATACGTATCGTTCAGTTATATTTTTCAATTTATCAAACAATTTGGCCGCTGAATCGCTGATTCTGGTATGGCGCCATCTAGCGAATAAAATTGTAACTAAAATCAATTTCGAATTTTTCATTATTTGCCATAAAAAATCCCATTGCATCCTGAACACATTGGTGTTTACCGCATTGCTCTAGCGCAAATATTCGCGGAGTTATTAATTTTTAAAGTTGTGCGGGACTTTTGGATCACCCTGTATACATAATTATAAAGATAGAAGCTTCTATAGAAATAAATAAAATAAGCCCAAATAGCTCAGTTAGGAGAGCATTAGACTGAATACACTGATATATATCACTGTGCATCAAATATCTCTCAGAGTTATTTTCTGAATCCCGATATATATATGCTATAAGGTACAACTTCCTTAAGTTTTGTCTATCAGTGATATCTAAAGGTCCCTGGTTCGATCCCGGGTTTCGGCATCTTTTTTTTAATTTTCAAATTTCTACTTACCGTAACTTGACATTTGACTTAACGTGACAGAATTGTGCATGACGCTGATAACTGTATTAAATATAATCCAAATTGTGCCTTATCACACACTATTTATTTATTTGGATTAGGTCTTATTACCTTGTGTTTATAATCTATAATCCAAATTGTGCCTTATCACACACTATTTTTTTATTTGGCCTTATTACTTTGTGTTTATAATCTATGACGTAATGCCGGCGGCGCGCGCCCGTTGGCTGCCGGCGAGCACGTGACCTCCCTGTGCGCGCGCATCCGTGGCAGAGGCGGCCGATGAGGAATGAGGAAAGACGGTCGTGACTATATATAGTAATTATTTGTTTTCGATTTTATTTAACATATTTATCATATGAAAAAACGATATAAAAATAATAATAATATTAAAAATGATATTAAAAACATGATATTAAATGATATTAAAAACAAAGAAGGCATATCCTGACCAAAAGCACGTGCTTTTATAGATGGCAGAGCGCCATCTAGTGGAACAGAAATCAACTAAACATTGATTTAGCCTGTTCCCTGATATTTGGCCAACCCATTTTCTTGATAAATCAAGAAGCGCGAAACGCGTTCGTGGATGGCTTTTCTTAATTTATCAAGGAATTTGGTAGGTCAAATATCAGGAAACAGGTTAAATCAATGTTTAGTTGATTTCTGTTCCACTAGATGGCGCTCTGCCATCTATAAAAGCACATGTGCTTTTGGTTAGGATATGCCCTCATTCTTTTAAATATTTATCATTATAATGATAACCTGGTAATTTTCGCCTTTATAACTCGTTATTGTGAACTTTTATAAATTAAAATATTGATTCATTTGCTTTGATTCCTACACAAGCCCGGCTACCTTCATCAGCAAGTGAAAGAAACTAGAATAGCTCTGGAACCTTGTGCAAAGCCGAACTGCTCTCTTCATTTGTTGACATTTGGTGAGCTTAGAGCAGAAGACTATCGCTAGCTATTTATCACGAATATTAGTTCCAAATTATCATATTAACACAATTTACATAGTTGAAAATTGATAGAAATTTGCAATGATATCTTTGTTTTATATCCAAAACCAAAATTATAATGACAGTGAAAATTATCAACAATTCTGAGTAGAAGCAACGACCAAATTCAAAATAATCTTTTTTGACAACATCCCTGACTTTTCTTTTTATTCTTTTAATATCTATTTATCAAAACTCCACAATTTGACGCCTTTGGCTTCACAATCAATATTATGTTTGATATTACTAGTGAATAGAACGTCGCAATAATTTGCTGTAAAGTAATATTGATGACATTATATTTTCAATAACTAACGCGCCAGCATCAACATTGACTAGATAAATGGTAAAAAGTAAGTATAGTTAAGGGAGTTTCTATTAGAAATAATTGAGGCTTTGTAGCATTATTATTTATATTTTTATATTTAAATTTATTCCGTATATGTACGTATGTAAACAATAATTTGTTTGAATATAGTATTTATCATTAATATGTTAATGTGATATTCCTGTTGAAGGACTCTGAAAAGTCCGAAAGCTTGAAAATAAAAGGTTTGTACAAGAAACTTAGCCCTGGAAGCTTTATTTATTTTATTATGTTTAAATAAATGAATGATAATGCCTCAATTATTTCGATAGACTCCCTCAACTATACTTATTTTTAAAAATGTTTCTAGCTAATGTTAATGCTGGCGTTGTTGTTGTTGTTGTCGTGTCCAATGAAGCGCCTGAGATGTCTCCATGCATCTCTATCACAGCAGCAGCAATGTACACTATCTTGGGTGTATAAAGCTGCTACTCTGGGTCTATGTTAATTTTCTGCAAGGCTGCGACCATTGCTGGGCATGAGAATATGTGGGTTGGTGTTAGTTCACACTAGGACAGTAATGCTGGCGTTAGCCATTGAGAATATAATGTCACCAAAATTACGTTACAGCAAATTATTGCGACGTTGTATTCACTGGTGATATCATGCTCACTGGTCGAGATTAGGGGTCGGCAACCACATGTGGCTCTTTGGATGTGAAGCTGCGGCTCTTTATATAGTTCCATATGCAAATATGATTTATGCGAGTACTATTTATTGTTGGCAAGAATAAATGTTGTGACTCTTTAAAAACTTTGAAATTTCGTAAATTGTAATTTTTTACTCCTCCGACTCAAAGGTTTGCCGACCACTGATCTATACCAATCAACCCATAACATAATGGCAATGCGCTACTGTAATTATACTGGTTTAGAGGAATAACTGTGTCGTGTTGGTAATGGCCTTCAGTCAGTAAATAGGAAAGTTGGTTCATCCATACCATGTATCGCACGTACTGTATTATCCTATGTATTCTCTCCCTTTGTTCTCAAACTTGAGAAAAACGTAGCTTTGAAGTTATATTGACCAGATTCTCTTCATTTACAAACAATGGGAAGCCAAGAAGGTCGTGATTGTTAATCACGTTTGGCTGTCGGTTTCTACGGTGAAAGTGTTTTCAAATTCTTCAAATTCTCTCTTCATTTAAATCTGACTTTTTCTTTAGGTCGTAAATTTTGATCTTGTTTTATTAAAATGCTCATTTCCTTATTTGAGTCTAGTTCTAATGTGTAAATAGCATATATTAATTGATTTTACTTTTATTTTATTTCAATTTAAAGCGCTATTTGAGTCAAAAGGCGATCCATCAATTAAGTTTATATAAAAGGGCGTACCTGGATCTGTAAAGAAAAAAAAAATTCAAAATATTTCGAGAGATTGCTCCCTCTTTATCAAGTATCACTGTGCAATAAAATGATAAAGAGGGAGCAATCTTTCGAAATATTTTGAAAAAAAAAAACGTTTTTTTACAGATCCAGGTACGCCCTTATTATATAAACTTAAATCGCTATGTCCCCTAGGGACACTTGCGCTGCCATACATGTATGCATTTACATTTGTCTATATATTTATATATAATAATTTTAGGCCGTGAATAGAATAGTCATATGATGTTAACAATGAGAAAGAGAGAAAAAAACGAGAAAAAATAATTGTGTGCAAAATAAATAAGTGTCTGGCAATATGTACAATCAGCATAATATAAATGATCAGTTTCTTAAAAGATATTTTTGCTATATAATTTAGAATATTTCTACAAAAGGTATTGAATTTAATATACATTTCTTTACTGGAAATAAAAATACTTGGACCTGTTACTATTAAATTGTTGTCGATTCTATAGTCTTGAAAACAGAACAATCTAGTAAAAGATATGATAAATTATATGATACTATCCGCAATATATATATATACGTCAATATAAAGCCTAACATTGTATTTACAAACTAGATGAATGATTTACACGTGTTTCATATATGAAATTCATGCTGGTTGGCGCGCAAATAATGAAATGATACCTGAATTATATTACAATATCCATCATCATTCATAGGATGCAAACAGCTATCCTGCTTGGACTGACCCACCTCAATCCTACATCTATGGCCAGCCTTCCAGACTCAACCTCAACATGGAAATTTCTGGTCAACTGGTTCAACTCAGCAATCAAAACAGGACGCGAGTAAAAAGCGCTCAACACTAGTCCATACTAGTGAGCTGGACTTCCCGGGTAGTTGGCGCTCCAGTAACCTGGGTTATAAATATCTCTCTCCATCACCAATCTCTGAATGATTGTTATCGTAGAAATAAAATAGTATAATAAGATAGATCTAATGAAATCCATTACGTATTGATCGAAAAACATTTATTAAAAGAAAAAAATGCTATAAAGTAAAAAATAAAAACAGTAGCAATGCGTTTCTTTATTTGTTAAAAGTGCAAGCTTTCGGATCTTTATAATCCTTCCACAGGCATAGCTTAGAAAACTTGCACCTATAACGAATAAATAAACACATTGCTACTGTTTTTATTTTTATTTTATTGAAAAGAATTCCTGAATAGAAATTTTTATTATGAATGTTTCATATTTTACTTTTATTTTTAAGACAAACGCTTTCTATGTGTGTGTGTGAGCGCAATAGTATTTAAATGAATAGGAATTATTTATAGATTTAATAACACAATGTATTGAAACCATTTTTTTTTTATTCAACTGAGCATATATTTCAGGAAATTCAAAACAATATTTGATTTCGATAAAAAAATTTGTTCACAGAAATTCCTTTAGTCAAACACCAAGTTTTTTTGTGCGACACACGTGTTCCACAAAACCTCTTTTGGGCACCCTGACAATCAGGTAATTAATAAAATTAACGGTAATGTTTTTAAAATGTAAATTTTATTGAGAGCTTTCAGTCTCTCCCTTGGCTATTAATAATAAGGTATGGAACCACGACTCAGAGTTTGTTCATAATAACAAAAAATTGTTAAAAGGTAAAGCTGAGTGAGAAGTGTGGATTGTTAGTTTTAAAATACAATTTTATATACCAAACTTAAAAGGAATCAACTAAAATAATCAGGTTTAAAATTTCCATAGTAACTATTGGTCTAATAATGGGTCAAATAGCATATTCCGTATAAATAAATGAAGACAAAATAATAATATTTTAATGTTTTACAAAACTACTACTGTTGCTAAAGATAAAATATTGATTGATATTTTTTTTTGAAGATAATTTGTTGGTTGGAAGTGTTTATATTTGTAAAAATATAACTACATCGACCAATAATTTCTTTAATTCTTGACCTTCCAGTGACTCGCTGTCACTGAGGAGTGGGAGTTATTGAAACGTCGAGAAATAAATAAAATTTTCCCTTATTGATAATATTATAAAGTAAATAAAACTTCCAGGGTTAAGTTTATTGTTCAATTTTTTTATTTTCAAGCTTTCGGACTTTTCAGTCCTTCAACAGGATTATCACAATAATATATTGATGATATATATAGTATTTTGTATAAAAATAGTATATATATCATCAATTTATCATTGTGATAATCCTGTTGAAGGACTGAAAAAAGTCCGAAAGCT